ATGCCAACTTAATTCCGCCCCCGACATTTTGTATGTTTTCATAACCTATGTGTATCTATTTTTTCCATTTCCCTACCCCCTTCAACTTCTAGCTCATCTCGTGACCACTTTCATCATCCCTGGTATTCAAAATATCACGCGCCTGGGGGATCCAAACTCCAAATGTAACAAACACCATGCAAATCAGAGAGCTTAGCTGCAAAACGCTGCAAATACCAATGAAAACCACCAAACCCCAGAAACGGGGAAAAAAACAAAAAAAAAAACACAGGAAAAATCACCAAAAAAATGCAACTCTAAAGGTAAAGGCCCAATGCACAGCAAAGTCTAGTCAAGAACCATATCTGAAATAGCATGGTGGATGCAGCCGCCAGGGCCGTAGCCAAGGATGCGTTTTGAGCTAAGCTCGAACCTTTGATCACAGTGGCTGTGTCATGGCAATGCGATATCATTGCCACGCTAAGTGAACGATGCGCGTGCCAATTTTTATGCCAGTCAGACCAACTTCCCAGTAATCCAACCCCTTCACACCTTTTTCCTGAGCAGTGTAGCAGTGAATTCTTGATGCAGTGACAACAGGACCGTCCAACCGAATGATTTTGACAGAGTCTGGGATGCGAAACTGTCGGGATTCTTTCACCCCTGTCATTGTTCATGTTTTCTCAGCTGGACCAGTGGGATGCGAGGGCTATAGGTTGCAGAATTACTCCGGTGAGTATTTCCAGGCTTTGTCTAAGTACACTCAGGATGTCCGTCTAAAGTTGTTGTTCAGCAAGGGCCAAAGGTCCCGTGGGTCTTCTTTTTTTTGGTAGGTTGTTATCCAGATCCACCTGAGTGGGCTGACGGCAAGAAAATTCAACATTTTTCTAAATCAATTCAAGACCCGATTTCGTCCACCCACAAAGTTGCTTACCTTTGTGTTCACTCCTTTGCTCAATTAGCACTCTTTTGGTGGGTCTCCCTCTGGTAGAGGTCCTGCTGTGTCCTGTCGGTCGGTTGACATCCCTTTCTCTATTTTGAGATCGTTTCCTGCTTTCGCTGATTAGTTTTGCTTTCATTGCCTTGTTGAGTTTCGCGCGCGTCACTCAGAGTACCAGGCTGCAAAAAAAAATATGGCGGTCCCAAAATGGAAGCGCATAGGCTATGTTCAGCCTATGTTGGGCCAAGAACGGCGTGTTCCTTTACTTGATACCGCATTTTTTGGGCTCATGTTGGGGCTATGTCGGGCCTTATATTGAGTGTTCATCTGGGTACCCATGCCGGTACCCAGATGAACACGCCTTTTTGGGGCATATCTTGGGGCCATGTTGGGCCTATGTGGGGCCTATGTTGGGCCTATGTTGGGCTCTATTGAATGATGCAACAGCAACATGATGCAACTTTGGGCAGCTTAAACATAAACAGCGCAGAACAGCTCAGAAGAAGAACCCAAGAAGATCCCCAAAAATGCTCGGTACATACAGCTTAAACCATGCAGATCAGCTCAGAAGAACACCAGAAGAACACCAGAAGAACACCAACAAAAATGTGTGGCGCATTTCTTGGAGACATCAGAAGAACCCCAAGAATGTTCGGTACATTTTTGGGGCGCGTCACACATGTAGCGAACATTTTTGTGGTCATATTCGTAGTTCAACATCTGAATCCCCAAGAATGCTCAGTACATTTTTGGGTTTCTTCACTGGCTCTTAGATTGCGCATAGACCCTAAAATGACCAGTCCATTTTAGCAATCTTATTTGTGTTTTCCCAAGTTAAGGGGAGTTATGATGGCTATCGCCAACCTTTGCGTTTATCTAAAATGCAGGAAAATGTACTGTACATTTTTGGGGCCTGGGGGTGTGAAGGAGTCGTGATTTTGATATTGTTTTTTCTCGCATCTTCTTTCACTTCGCTGCATCAATTTGGGTTGCCTTAGTCCATGGTCATGCGCATATTTACAATGCCCTGCAAAGAAATATATACATCTATTCATGAAAATGAAAGAAAATCACCACCTCACGGAACCTATCTTTAGCCCGCCCCTTCTCGAGTTAGACAGTCTGGTTGCTCTCCAACTCAAGAGCTGAGGAACTATTCGGAGGCATTCAAGGTTGGCAGTCGGGTCACGTTCGCTGCCTTCACTAGCCTATCGCTCGCTGACAGCACCGCCGAAAGTTTCGGGGATCGCATACTCTTCCAGGCGTCAAGAATCTTTTCTTCCAAATTTTGTGGTTGTTCAATTGTAAACTTCCATCAAGAAATTCAGACCATCTTCAGACCCCTCAGTCTTTGTGTTGGGGCATGCTCGGGCATGCTTGGGTGCAACCCGCAACATGACATGCCTTTCTGATCCAGCCTTGGCAGTTCACTCGAGTTCGGGGCGTCCGCATCGCAGAGCTCAGCGCAATTCCATCAGAACTCGAGATCTTAGTGGAGCCACCGGCTGTGTTCAAGGCCGGCGCTTCCAGGATGATAGATCCGCGTAGAGATCTAGAGCCACTATTATCAAAGGATGCAGGGGAAAGAAAATGGAAAGAGACAGAAAGAAGAGCAATGCAAGACGTGTGAT